GGCCTTACTGTTTGCTACAGCACAAAAGAGCCACAGATGCAAGAGCAAACTACAAGGGACATAAGGAAGAGGGCCTGTTGGCAAGAGGGAGTACAGGTAGTACCAAGCAGCAGAAGGAGGAGCGATTCAACGAAAGATGGGCTCTGAAAAAAGCCCCCTGAACAGTGCAGTAGAGGGATATGAGGCAAGGACCACAGGACAGGTTCTGAGGACAGAGGTGGAACTAATCCAAAGATATACAGACATCTGCAGGGTAGGAGTCTGCATCTGTGTTGACCACCTTAGGCTCTCTTTATAGTAATAAAGACCTGGCACCTAAGGAACAAGGGATCTCATCCAAAACGAGAAGTCTGAAACAGGCCTGGTGACTTGCACCCTACAAGTACCTGTTTCCCTCAGCTAACCTCAAAGGGGTATAAAGCTGATGGGTACAGATGTCTAAAGCTAAGTGAGATGGATGTGGAGAAGGATCTCAAAGGAGAGAGGGAGCAAAGCAGCCACACAGACAGGGGCTAAAGACAAGAAAAGAAAGATGGTCTGGAAGGAAGAAGCTTCATGGTGAAGACCCTGTGGGTCACAGTAGCTCAGAGGGGGATGACACTCAAATGCTTTGGTTGAGTCAGAAGCAGAAGCCAGGAGGATGACCCAGAAGGTTATTCATAATCACAAAAACACCAAACAAGACTAGAGAGATGAACCTGAAGAGAAAAAAGCATCAATCTCATCCTTTCCCAGCGTGCTCTTACTGCTCCATCTCACCAGTTGCACAGTGACCAGGCTGCAGGCACCAGATCTGGTGAGAGGCCGAGCACAGCTTGCTCACACACCCTCAGGAGGAACAGGGCAAGCCTCCAGACCCCTCACCTCCCCCCTGTTACAGGGCTCCCGAGCAGCACCAAGCACAAAACGCAGAGGCAAAAAGCTGAAACAAGACAGAAAGCTTCGAGCACCTCTGCTGAAACAGCCTAAATGATTCTTAGACCAGTCCAAAATGCTTCAGAAGTTATTGATTCATTTTGCAAGTGACTGTGTCACTGCCGAAACGGGGAACCTCCAGGAGTTCAGTTAAGCTTTCCAAACGGAGGCAGCAATTACTTTATTTCTGCACTGTTAATTCACCACACAGTGGAAACAGCACACCTTTTTTTTTTTTAGTTAACCTATGTAGTCAACTTTAAACGTGTATCATGAAGTTGCCACTGTGGTGGGTTTTTTCTGCCAGCTTTCTTGTACTTCCAGGTCAATTCTGTTCCCTTTAAATATGAGGGGGTGGGTGGGAAATCTAGGTGAAACCTGAAGAACAAAATTTAAATTCTGCATTGTTTCATCCATCAGCAACAATAACTATACCGGTTCATTTCAAAACCCAAATCCACACAAAAGAATGAAAGCAGTCTCACTCTCCGTGTACTTGCACCCCAAAAATGAGAAAAAAAGCTACACAGTCAACATTAAAGCAAGTGGAGGTTGAATACAGAAGCAGTGGTCATTTGGTTGGTTTTGGGGCTTTTGTTTTTAAATATGACCTGGGTTTGGACAGGAACCACCTTTAAAATCAGAGATGAAAGAAACAAAAGAAGACATGAGAGACGAGCCTGGAGATCCCACCGCACACAAGGGAAAAGGGCAGTGGGGCAGAACTTGAGGATCAGATTATTTTAGCAGTAATCTAGACAAAAAGTTATCCGAGCACAGACTATCACACAGAAACATGCCATACACATGAACGAGTTGTGAATATTGCTTTAAAAGTTCAGGACTGAAGAACTGTGTTTCTGTCAGTCTCTTTATCTGTGTTATGCTATTAGTGCACTGGCAGACAATGTTATGGGTTTGCTGGGAAAGCTCTCAGTTACACGATAGCCTCCCTTCTAATTTAATTCTTCAGACTTCTAGAGGGACAAATGAAAGCCTAATTTTAGACCTCTCATCTGGTTTTCATATTAAACTAATAGATAAATATGTCAAAGCTCTTCTGGGTCACATAATGTTCAGGGACCTCAGGAAACTTCTATTAATCGCACAGTCTAAAATGGACAGATGCTCCCAAAGAAAATGATTTTTTATAATAATCTGCACTTTTCTCAGACTGAGCCTTTATCCCTACTTTAACAAGCACAGTCATCCCCAGAAAGCCAGTTCAGAGCCAGGCAGGTTCGGGTCACCCTCTTTTCTCTTTCAGCTTGGGCTTGGGTTCTCACTTTGTGGTCTTGAGACAAGTTTTTCTTAGGACTAGTGGGTTTTTTGGCACTCACAGCTGCACGAAGCAAAACCACAAAGCATCTGGACCACTACAGCTCCTCAGCAAGGTTAGAGGGGTACTTTTTCTCATCAAAATCTTCACTAGAGTCGGTGGCAGCAACAGAAGTGGAAAACTGCTCCTACTGTCCTATCTAACTCTCTCCAGCTCCCAGATTAGTTATGTTTTCTCTCCCTTTTTGGGGGGCTGTCCCCGTTCATGCTGCCCTGCGGTTCACGTTCCTGCCTGACAGCCTGTCTGTACCAGGGCTAGAAAGGGCCGAGAGAGCAAAGGCAGCATCGACACCCCTGCCCCTTCTGCCAACTTGGATGGTGGAAATTCAGCTCCGGACCCAGAGGTGACTCAGGGGTGCACGGCTGTCGCTCTAAAGGGAGTCTGTGCACCACGTCTTTCTCCGTATCGGTGGGATAAGCAGGGCGAGACACTGAGGTGCGAGGGGGCACACCACTTCCCACCCCTGAGCCTCGCCAAGGAAAAAGGCACCCGGGGAGTGGGAAAGGGGGATGCTGGCCGGGCCGCTCTGCCTACCTCTGCCTGGTGATGAGGTTGATGTAGTGCCTCAGCGCCGAGTAGTATCTGGCCATGTCCTCTGCGGGGGCGTCCTCGCCGGGGCTGTCCGGTTTGGAGGGGTACGCCTCTGCCAGCGTTCCCAGGCAGACCAGCAGCGACAGGGCGAAAGTCAGCACCGACACCCACAGCCTCACGGTGCCCTGCATCTGCACGGTGGGGTGGGACGGGGGAGAGCGCCGTCAGCACCTGCCCCGACGGCGGGAGCAGCGCGGTCACCCCAG